CATATGGCAAGAGAGAAGGCAATGCCAGAAGACGAGTCACATTCTTACATTTTGAAAGCAAGAAAGCGTAAAGTCAGAGGCATGATTAGATAAAACTTTTCCTTTTGAATTGCATCCATGATCTTGCTGGCTACATACTCTGCGTCATAAACAGGAAGAAAAAGGTGGTTTCTGGTGAAAGAAGAAACAAAGCATTATGAAATTATAAAACTTTACTTTTGAGATGTATTCTAATACAGAAATAATTCAATTAAATCATTTAAGAATTTTCCCCCTTCCCCTCAGGTAGCCTTGAAAAGCAGTCTCCAATCCTCTTTGTTCCTGCTATCATCAAAACAAATTGAAAACACTTTGGTGCTGTTGTGAATTTTAATGACTTCTGTGCAAGTCCTGCTCCGACCCTGATGAAGTTAATGCCCACAGTGATTGTGGCATTGAAAACTTCCAAGCTAAGCTACCATATGCTGTTCTACGCATAATAATTCTGCCCTCCGCACACCTCCTCCTTTTCTACGGTAGATGTTGAGGTGACCGCTAAACGGACCAGGAGCAGGCCTGTTTCCAGCCAGGAGAAAGGCTGTGCTCTGCATAATATATGCTACTACAGGATGATGAATGGTGGAAGCAGGAACAGAGCACTGAAAAACCAAGACCACTGGTATTGCACTACTGCAATGGCTAAATCGGTGCCTGCAGCCTCCACCATCACTACAACAACACAGCAACCCACCACAGCTATTCCCACTCAGATAAGTGTAGCTACCTGCTCATACAGTTCATAATGATAGGTCACGGGTATCCTGACAGCCATAACTGTAACCAACTTGACGGCTGGACTCGATGACCTTAGAGGTCTTTTCCAACCTTAATGATTCTATGATTCTATGAAAAGTACTTGGGGCAGAGAACCTCAACAGTGCCCATTCTACTGACAAATAAGGTTGCCTTAAGTATTGCTGTGCGTCCCTAACCGTTCCTTGACTGCGAGGTTATTACGCAGCCCTGTTGCACGTCAGTTATTAATTGTATGCAAACCTGGGATTTCTTACATCAAGAGACATAGCTGTATGTGCCAATAGGGCAAAAAGAATGAATTGAAAAGCAAATCAACCTTATAATAGCTAGAGACTGAATATGGCGTATCTAGTGAGTAGTGATTATTTTTTTACATACGAAAATAGTACACGATCTAAGTTTTACTTACTGGGTTTGAAAACCTTTAGCTAATTCAGTATTAATAAAATAAGGGCAAATGATTGTGGTTCTAATGCCTTGTTTTCCTGCATGATACAGTTCCGAATCTAAGGCTTCCATCATTCCAATGATTGCGTACTTACTTCCAGCATAATCTGAAAAGTGAAGAAAGAAGAAATATCCAAAATATGTCAAAAGCACCACAGTGTTATATACAGAATTTAATGTTTTGGAATACTATTTAAGCCCTGATATTACTTGATTATATAATTGGCAGTCTTGTAATTAGTATTTTAAGGATGCTGTGCATGTTGGTGAAGAATAACTCTGAAGGTTAACGGCTCTTCCCGTGATTGATGCGCAGTTGTCCAAGGATAAGATTAATCCTTTCCAGAGGACTCTTTTTCAGTGCACTATAGAGAGATATAGGAAGATGAGCTTATTCCACATTTTATGTACATTTCCAGATACTCATATACAAGCCAGGCATTCTTTCAGTTCAGAATGTTTTCGCCCTTTAATATCACAGCTTACATTTCAGTAAGAACTATTTCTAGTGGTAAAATCTAAACACCCTACTTACAAATGCTGCTTCAACCTATTACTTCTTCTTCTGATTTACCCTGCAACTGCAGTACCATTTTGTTTGCCCAGGAAGACTGAATCTTGTCTGATTTTTACCATTTGATGAACGTATGGAACTCCATCCTTGGAGATAATAAATGTTTGCCTTCACAAGGCCCTGTGCAATCTGATCTAAGTTGGGCCTGCTTTTATTTGGGAGGTATGGACCGAATGACCTCCAGAGATTCCTTCCAACCTAAATTATTCTACAGTTTTGCAACTTTAAGAACCTTATTTTAATATAGGAATTTACATGTGGTTTTCTAAGGCTTTTTCAAATGTGTGTGAAAACAGTTGTTAGATACAACGAAATCCAATTTTGCTAAAAGAGTAACTTCAAAAACTGGCGTCAGACACTGTTATTCTTCAGGGATTCACCCATAGTGGATGATGGAACCATACAACCTAAAAATGCATAGCAAAGGTGTAAAAAGTTATAATGCATGAATGGGCAGGTCCACTCTCATAAGCCTCACAGTTAAATGATGAAAGCTGGACTGACCTATTATCAATACCGCATCTGACCCAACGATAACAGACGGCAAATAAACACTACAGTAACACTGTCAATCAGCAGAAGGAACAAGAGGTACTTATTACACTGAAGTTCACATTCTCACAGGGTGACCTAAGAGATACAGTCAGGATGTCAGAGAGGCTCGAGGAGAGACTGGGCAGCAGACCCAGGCTGATGAAATAGTCAGGACTGTAGCAGTCAGCTCTCCTGAGGGAAACAGCTGAGAACATGGAGCTGTTAAATAGCTTATAACACAGTTCATTCAAATTAATTTTAATGAAAATTCTGCCAAAATGCCTTCTGGACCTGAAAACTGTTTTCCAACTAAATGTATAGTTCCAGGGATAACCCACGTATGCCTCAGGACTCTGAACATTCGTCTGCAGAAAACCTGGCATGAGAAAGTGTTAGACAACCTGTATGCAGGGCTCCCTCCCACTGCACACTTAAGAGCTGTGTTGTCCTTCTTCTGTGGAGATAAGACAGGCTGCAGTCAGACAGTAAAATCTGCAGTGAGCTCCCTGTGCCACTCAGGCAACATGCCACCATCATCCTCTTCAGTACACCACCACCTTTCGTATCTGCAGGCTTTTCCTGAGTGTTCCATATGTCAGTATAAACTGCGTAAGCCAACCATTTATGAGATCTCCAAGAAAAGTTATCAGCATGTAGATCTAATTTGTAATGGCACTTGACGATACTAACCTGACATTCTGTAGACTCCCAACAATCCTGCTGCACTGGTTACACTAACCAGGTGTCCGCGGTTACAGGTCATCATGGCCGGAAGAAAGGCCTTGCAAGTCTAAGAGACATATAAAAAAACCCCTTTATAACTGGACAGGCCAAAAATGTTGCGTTCCAAATTAGGCTTTACAACCTGATTTGCTTCCTAGGGCCTCAATATACAAGAAGCCCAACTGACCTTCTATCTCTGTAAGAATTTATAAATGAGACAGCATTTCCTTGAATGACTGCCCTCTCTCTGAAGATCTGTCAGCATTAAAATTGTGTTATTAAAAGCGGCAAAGTTTGTATTTTCTCTGCCTCCTGGTTCCTCGCGGTTTGAGTCCTGTGACTATTACCAAAGATTTGGTACACAAGAGGGAGCTAGAAGTCAACACATTGAGGGGAGCTCAGCTGTCTATGGGCCCTATTTGTTACAAACCGAACTGCCTCACAACTCCGGCACCCCAGACCACCACTGTGGGTGATAACTAACTATATAAGGAGGACACTGGTATTTTATGAAGGGTAAGATAAGAAAAAAGACAAGAGCAGTAACAGAATTTTTTCAATAGCCGAGATGTGCTGCAATGTCTAGTCCAGATGTGTGTGCCTAGTACATGTTTTTTTTGGTTGAGGGCCCACGGTCACTGTCCTCCTGCCTTACGTCTCTTCAGACCTGTCCGGAGGAACAACTCTCCCTGTCCCTTTGCCTCAAGTATTTGGAAGAATGATGCACTGCGGACTGGGAAATGATTAGAGGACTTCTATCTGCAATGATCTTCTGTTCAGAAATGCCATTTAGCGAGGGAGTTGCAAGGCTACATTTTTCCCTGATGCAGACTGCTCACTCAGGCATACAAACAACAGATGCAAGAGGGGGCAAGAGTAACACTCCCTCACAACAAAACCTCCTAAAGGTCAACTGAGACCCCAAATAACAGCAAATTCCTTCAGAGGTATGAAAACAAAGCGAAGATAATACATACTGTCCAGATTAGTTTTCTATGTACATTAAGCACACGGTGACTAAGAATGAAAGCACAACCTGAAGACTGACACCAACATGTGCAGCATAGAATCATAGAATCATTTAGGTTGGAAAAGACCTTTAAGATCATCGAGTCCAACCATAAACCTAACGCTGCCAACTCCACCACTAAACCATGGTTGTGCCTCCCCAAATGCTACAAGTCTATTAGACAAAGCCTTCTGATGCCAGCAAACATCAGGAGCAGGAAAGTCACATGCCATCATGTCAGCGCTAACTTCAGCCACAGCACGTTACAGATAGAGCATGTTTCACGATACGGTTGCACAAACTTTTGATTTACCAGAGTGCCCAGGCAGGTTTGTATTAACATTACTGTGACATAGTGGGGAGACTGTCAATTTGGTGTGTCTCTAATTATAGGATGATTAAAAAAATGTATCTTTCCCCATTCAAGGCCCTTCCCATCCCTATTCCAAATTGTGTTCCCCGGGTAGGTGCCACCATGGTGATTCTCACACTAAAATACTTGCCTGTACCTTTCAGTCACCCAGGAGAGAAAAAAATACATTACCCAGACTTGAGAGAGGAAGTTGACTCTTAAGGTCTTTTCAAAATCTGCATCTGGTATGTCACAAAACTTCTTCGCAAGCAGTATGCCAGCATTATTGATTAGAATAGTAACATCCCCAACTTCTTTTCTAACCTGAATAAAAAAAGGATAAACAGAAAGCTTTAGAAGGTATCCTTGCCTCTTGTGCTTCATTTATGAAAATGGTTAGTGATATTTGCAATTATTTATATCTCTACTGGAAATGCAAGTACGTAAGAACTGTTGTACTGCATCAGATCAAAGGTCCATCTAGCTCCATAGCCCTTGTCTCATGGTGGAAAGCAGTAAAAAAAGGACCAGGACTCTAAGGTCTCCTGCAGGGTACTCCTCAACTTTTCACACTCTGCAGCTTAGGATCTTCCTGAGACAGGTAAAGTATTTATACCTTTGTATTTAACATAACCTGATGATTTTTTTTTTCCCCAAGAATTTGTCTAATTGCTTTCTGAACTCCAGAATACTTTTGGTTTCCACAGGAACCTGAGGTAATCAGTTACAAAGCTTTAGTGTGCACTGTGAGCATGCTTTAATTGCAACCTGAACATTTCTTGTCCCCTGTTTCTGGTACTGTGAGAATCTGTATTCCTCAGCCAAGCCTGTTCAACCCCTTTTCCAGATCATTTTTACTGAACAGAAGAATTCAGCACAGATCCCTGGGGGATTGCAATCCTCTGAGTACAGAAGCATGTACCATGAAATAGATAAATAACATCACTTGGAGAGAAGGCCAAAATCACCATTAATTCGATTTAGGTTTGTTATAAAAAGGTTTTATTCCATGATTTGAATTTATATCAAAGCAGATGGCCAAGATTTACTTGTGGTATTAACAATCAGGCTCACTCCAGAGATTTCTGTGCTAGAGGCAAATGGATATTTGGTGTCTCAAAACTTATAGAATGACTACAAAAACATAAAAGCCCCAGATATGCTGCTGTCTGGCAATTTGGAAATAGGTGCTTGGATCTGATGCCCCAACATTTGACCTTGCTTTGGCTCTTTCATGGAACCTTAGTGTTCAGTGAAGACTCATTTGATACTCCTCCAGCTGTGTCGGGCTTTCTCCTTGTCACAGACAAGCAGGGCTCACACGCTAGCACCTTTCCATCTGCACAAATCAATGCAAATCCAGACACTGCTTAGTATGGCAGGATTACCCAACTCTTGCTTTGTGGGATTTATCTGTACTGTCTCCCCACTCGTACCTTTTACCTACTGTGCCAGTCCATATGACGATCCTCTTTTTCTTCACATGACAACAGAGCTTCCCCAATGGTAGCATTTTATTTAATCCAGCTTCATTTGACTTGTTTAATCACTACCCCAAAAAATGTGGGAAGCCTGACTTCCATTTACAAAAAGTCAAGCTGATTATTCTTCATTATGTATTTCTTTAGGTGTCTATTAATTCTTCTCTTTATTATTGTTTCTACTAATTTTCTGTAAGACAGGTTTATAGTTTCTTTGTGTCCTCTCAAGTGCTCTTTAAAACAGGCATATTTGCTACTCTTTGTTCTTTGGACACCTGTTACAGCAAAACACCCCCCACGCATTTCTAGCTCATCAGATCCCTATCTGATTTCCTTCAGAATTCCCAGGTGGACACTGCCAGATCAGTGTCGATTCACCAGCTTATTCTAAAACCTCTTCTTTATGGACTTCGATGATCTAATTTGCTTCCTAGAAAGAAAGCTTCCACTATGGGAAAATACCTAGGTTTTTCTGCAGTGAATATCCCAAATCAAAGCAATTAATTTAACTTTTCTGCTGTTACTTTGTCTTCTGTGTCCAAGCTCAAGACTTTTCGTATTACCAATCAAACAGTTGCAGATATTTCCAAGAGTATTTCCAGATATTTCAGGCCCCTGGCTGAAAAACTCTCGCTCTAAAAAAATTTCAGGCTCCTACATGACTGTTCAATTCATCCAAATACCTACAAAGATGTTGGTAGAGTTAACAATAATTTAACACCTTAACGCCAGTTCCTGAATTTGAAACAGCTCTTTGAGTTTCTGCTTGTAGGTCAGTCTGTGCACTTCAAAATACTCTTTGCTGATAAGGGCACAGCAAATCCGGCAGGCTGGAGCCCTGTGGCTGATTCGGTTAATGTGTTTGGAGGTTGAAAATTACTTGAGTGCACAAAACAAACATTTTGAGAGTCTGCTAAACTAAGAACAAACAAATTATTTCAAAGTGTTCAGCATCAACAGGGAAGTCTAACAGAGAAATTACTTACAAAAGCTTAAACTAATCATTTTGGTGCATGTCTTTGCAGGAAGCAGATAGCATTTATGGGAATAGGGATTTAATGCCAATTTAAAATGTTATTTTTTAAAAGCATTTGATCTTGTAAATTCTAAAGTGAGTTTTTTTCTTGCAAAAAGAGGATTCTAGAAGAATTGCCATTTGATTTATAGTATCATTGCAAATAAAGATCAAGTGTTACAGCTGAAGTACTGACCACAAGTCGCTCACACTGATTTTTCGTCTTGCTGGGAAGTGATAACAGATAGTAAGATTGTTGAAATTACTGGGATTCTTACTCCAAAATTGCAGGAGTCGTAATCAATGTCTTACACAGTGAGGATCACATCATCTGTACTGCCCAAGTAATTGGCAAAGATTGTCCTCCTTGAACACTGCGTGTTGGGTCAGTACAGAACACTCAACAACTTGCTCATCTCTGCAGACATACTATTACAATACGATATATCCTTGCCTGCACTGTCCAAGTAATACTACGATACCACTTGTGGTTCTTAACATCTACAACCAATGGCCCCAAATGGAAATTCTTTTCTGTGCACTGTTAGTTGGCTGTGCCCCAAATGCTGCTGACAAGTACGGGTAAAATAATACCTTGTTGACTGCAAGCATGAGAATTGCAGTTCCAGATACTTACAGATACTGAATCCAACTTACCCTTTAGAAGTACTTTTCATTGGGAACATTTCTTGAGGAAAAATACTTATTTCAAACTTTCATGGCCGTGTTCAGAAAGAATTAATCTGTTTTGGTTAAAATTAGAAGCAACAACCACAAAACAAAGAGTCCCCCTGACAACTCACAGAAAATTAATGTTACATTTCAAGGCTATTCCAAAACAATCTATCAACGTTCACGTGTCATGAAATATTTTAGCTAATTTCTCTGATGTATGCCTTCAGACACAGACTGTCAAAGATGTGACTTGAGAGTCATGTATATAAGTACATATACTGAGAATTTAACAAAAGAAGAATTTGTCCTTGGACGAAATGGCAGAGTGGGTAGTTAATTACTTATAATCACTGGATTATAAGTGAGGTTACACTGGGAAATATTTTCAGGCAGCACGTAGTTAAAGGACAAGTAAAAATTAATAATGTTAATTTAATGTCCAATTTCTGGACTCTGATAATAGAAAAAAACATAATAACGGTTTGCAAAGTGTACGTCAGCACAGCAGAAGAGTCTCATTTAAAATGCAGTCCTTCTCTTCCTTACTTTCCAGCTGAATTGACTAAAAAATAAACTGAAGCTGAATCATCAATTTGACTGGAGACCAGCCATGCCCCGATGATATTTCTGAGACCATAACACCCCACCTCACCCTTACAGAACTACAGCTTTCTAAACAAATGGACAGAGAAAAGGAACGCCTCCCCTTACAATTTCCACTGGGTTTTTTTTAAATTATTTATTGGTATCTTAAAGACATTTTAAAGCCTAAACAAGTTAATACATGGAGCTAACCTCTGCTGTATGTTTTACTATACTCTCAATCTGAAAGAAGTTACCATCTCACAACGAAGACTGGAAATGGCTAAATCTCGACAGAACAGATTAAACCCAGTTACTTTATTGCGAATATGGTTTAAGCTCCATCTAGAAGCTACTTGTCAAAAAGAGAAAGTCATTGCCCTACCTGATTACCTCCCTTTAGTGAATAGTGGTTTCTAAAAAAAAAATGTCAATAGCATATACAATTAAAAAGAAGCAAAAAATCAGAAGCAAGAAGCCAAATCAGAAGCTAGAAGCTGTATCTTACCTTGTCTGCCTGTTCATAGACCTCCTCCCTATTGCTGCAGTCACAGTGGTAGGCAAACACTCGTTTAGCTCCATTTTTTTGGGCTAATCTGCTTGTTTCTTTGTTACCTTCATCATCAATGTCCCAAAGAACCAAGGTTGCTCCCAAAGGAGCAAAACTTAGGGCAATCTGCCTTCCAATTCCATTTGCGGAGCCAGTAATAAGCACTATTTCCCCAGCGAAAGTTTTTTTGCATGGAGGAAATATGAGTAAGATGAAATTCTTAAAAAATAAAAAAATTAATAATTTCAGGAATTGTAGTATCTTCAGGATGCTTCTGAAGTTGAACATGATTGTTCAGGCACAAAC